GGCGTTGTTTCGCGTCGTGACGTGGCCGCTGACGGGCGGCATACCCCTTCCTTTGAGTAGGGGTGGCATGGTGACGTTGGGTGTGGTATTCGTCAAGGGCTGGATGGTGGAGATGTGGTGAGATATGTAATAAAGGGGGAGGGGGCTTACCGTGTTGCGACGACTGGTGGCTACCACTTTTATCATATAAAACAGGTAACTGCCTATAGGTCCCTGTGTATCCATCCACACTCTTTATGATAGGGAATCATTACTGTTACCATGTTTTTTCATTATCATAAAGGCTGCGCTTTTTCATTAAGTGTAGGCAAGGTTTTGGGCCTCCCTCATAAGGTAGCCTGTGGTTATCATTACCAATTTCATATCTTTTCAAAGCCATATCATTGCGATTTTCATTAGTTGTCTGGCGAGTATCATTGGATATTTCATTAGCTACATGGGTGATATCATTTTGCGATTTTCAATGGTTACTTTGGCAATATCATTGGAAATTTCATAAGCTACTTGGGCAATATCATTGCGATTTTCATAAATTATGTGGCCAGTATCATTGGAAATTTCATTAGCTGGTTGTGCAATATCATTGGCAATTTCATTAGCTACTTGGGTGACATCATTGTGATTTTCATTAGCTACTTGGGCAATATCATTGCGATTTTCATAAATTATGTGGCCAGTATCATTGGAAATTTCATTAGTGGGTTGTGCAATATCATTGGCAATTTCATTAGCTACTTGGGCGACATCATTGCGATTTTCATTAGCTACTTGGGCAATATCATTGTGATTTTCATTAGCTCCTTTGGCAATATCATTGGAAATTTTATTAGCTACTTGGGCAATATCATTGTGATTTTCATTAGCTACTTGGGCAATATCATTGCGATTTTCATTAGCTCCTTTGGCAATATCATTGGAAATTATATTAGTTACTTGGGCAATATCATTGTGATTTTCATTAGCTACTTGGGCAATATCATTGGCAATTTCATTAGCTACTTGGGCGACATCATTGCAATTTTCATTAGCTACTTGGGCAATATCATTGTGATTTTCATTAGCTCCTTTGGCAATATCATTGGAAATTTTATTGGTTGCTTGGGCAACATCATTGGAAATTTTATTAGTTACTTGGGCAATATCATTGTGATTTTCATTAGCTACTTGGGCAATATCATTGTGATTTTCATTAGCTCCTTTGGCAATATCATTGGAAATTATATTAGTTACTTGGGCAATATCATTGTGATTTTCATTAGCTACTTGGGCAATATCATTGGCAATTTCATAAACTATGTGGCGACATCATTGCAATTTTCATTAGCTACTTGTGCAATATCATTGGCAATTTTCATTAGCTACTTGGGCAATATCATTGGATTTTCATTAGCTACTTGGGCAATATCATTGTGATTTTCATTAGCTACTTGGGCAATATCATTGGAAATTTTCATTAGCTACTTGGGCAATATCATTGTGATTTTCATTAGCTACTTGGGCAATATCATTGCGATTTTCATTAGCTCCTTTGGCAATATCATTGGAAATTATATTAGTTACTTGGGCAATATCATTGTGATTTTCATTAGCTACTTGGGCAATATCATTGGCAATTTCATTAGCTACTTGGGCGACATCATTGTGATTTTCATTAGCTACTTGGGCAATATCATTGTGATTTTCATTAGCTCCTTTGGCAATATCATTGGAAATTTTATTGGTTGCTTGGGCAACATCATTGTGATTTTCATTAGCTACTTGGGCAATATCATTG